GCAGCATTGTAGTCTTCAGCACGTTGACCACAGGAACCCCTATTTGATCAGAAATGTGTCACTTATAGCGCATCACTCCAAGTCTGTCCAAAGCAAGACAACTTGTCACCTTTGAACGATATAACTCTCTCTGTTTCAGCAGTCAGCACAACCCGAAAATTGTGTCCCAGTGGGATAAATTGGCGATATAGAGACCATACATACCCATATCGGTTGATGTCAGCTGATTATTAGGTTTGCAAGTTGCTTGAAGCATTGGCGGCCGGGGGGCGGCTTCGCCCATGTCGCACGAGCCCTTAATCCCGTCACGATTGGATAGGAACCCACCACTATGTAGGATCGGTTAGAACACTAGGCAGCCAGTGATAGATTCGTTCATTGCATACTTCACGCGCGGGGTCAACTGTCCATTATCATTTGCGAAGCAGTGAGTCAGATGAATGTAGGCTTGCTGCTGTTTACTACCATCGCAATAGCAGGACATTCCCCCATCATTACTAACCGTACACAGGTTCCAATCAAGCTGGCAGTCGGACTGGGTTATGGTGGGGCCAGCCCGGGAGAACAATACGTTTATAGCGAGCAAAGTGATAAAGATCAAGCACATCTTTAATGTTACCGTACCGTTGCAGCAAACAGCTAATCGACTGACAATGGGTAAGTTTAGGGTGATGGGGTGTGGAGGCAAGAGATGCTTATATAGGTTGCACTGTATGCTTGTTTCGTGCCAATTCTGTCCCCCCGGAGGCCCTCTTTGTTCCGTACAGTAACTAGGTTAAACAGTAACTTACGCATGGACGGCTGTGGCGGACACAGAAGTTCAACCCTGGGAAAGGAAACTCTGAGGAAAACACGGGCAGGAAGGGCCAGGCTACCCGAGCCGTGATTGACCAAAAGAGCCAAATTTGGACACCAGAATGGAAGTATTTCCGGACCGCCAGATTACAATTCGGGTATTGATTGTGACGTTCCTGTGACAATCTATCGTAACACCTGCCGTCACAGATACACGAGCCCGGTCGCATGAGCCAAACTTCAGAGCCAAAACTTTCACGAAGTACAGTAGGTAGATATCAATATCTGTATGTAGTTCAATAGTGACTGCCTGGAATTATACGGATAGTAAAAATTAGACATCCAGGACCCCTGTGACGCTGGAGCGAGAAAAGATTCTTGTTCCGCAGTGTATCTTCTATTCCGGTTGACGGCTGTTCGCGAAGCCATCTCTCTATCAACTCGATGTATTATTGACCTCGCAATAGATAGCATTCAATTGAAGAGGCAGAGAATAATCCACACATGTTTTTATACGATAATAGTTCTATTTGATGAACTTATCCCCAATTGTGTTACAGGTACCTGTGAGGCGTTTCGGCACTCCGCCTGATTTCGGCACCTCATTTACACGTTACCTGTAGGAATTTGGCAATTTCGTTGGTCACTGAAGTTGCAGACTAAGTAGAGAATCGAGTACTGTATGATTTAATTCTTTTTTCATTTTCGTATACCCACAATTGTCTGATGACCGAGACATAGGCGCAAAAAATAAATAAGACAACTGTGCGCGCGTTTCCTTTCATATTCTTCCCCAGTTACCCTTCAAACTTTCTTTGCCCCTACCGAAAATGACACGAGATCTCAACCACCTTCAATACTTCTTCGGCCAGGTCGTTGGCGATCCTTTACACCGGACTCAGTGCCTGTGGGCCAAATGTGACAAGATCGTCTCTAAAGCGTCTCGGACGAATGCCGCCATTGTGCTGATGATTCAACGGCGAAACCCGGCTGATTCACTGGAGCACGTTGTTCGTTCGGCGACACGAAGTATGCTCTGCAGGAGTTGTAGGCAAAACTGGAAACGACGCACAGCTTGCACCCGGGACTATCTAGCTTTGTTGTCCGCACGAACTTATCGCGGAGAGCGGACGAAGTCGCAAATACCACCTCAATGCATACACATGTGCTCCTTGCCATGTCAAGATCACGATCCAAGATCCAACTCATGTATATGATCACTGTCACTACAAGATTTACCATGAGGCTCGCTGGCATGCGTACGGCGATATAAAGAAAGCTTGGCGTGGAAAATGGTGGATCGTTCCACATGACAAGCTGCTCTGCGATGCCAGGCTAATCTCGACTGACATTTGTGACGATCATCATACCAGCAACGGACAGAATATTAGGAATGTGGAAGACAAGTTGACTCTTTGCTTCTGCATGAAATATCTCCTCGATGCAAAAGCCTCTGTAAAGAAACATCTATTCGTTTCGAGGGACACCACTATCCTGAATCAGAAAAACCCATGAAGTGGGGAACTTGGAATTGTCCGTCACAGGAACGATTAGGAAAGGAACAATGACGCTGGTACAACGGTACAACGCAGTAAAAGTTGAGCCTGTCTCAGAATGAGGACTAAAGAAACAGGTCAAACACGGAAAGAGCAATGTGTAGATAAGATGATATCCCATCATGAAATACCCAATCACTTTCCAATTATGGATCACTTTCCAATTATGGATCACTTTCCAATTATGGATCATGTCGTTTGATCAACAGAAACCAGCGGGGCACGGAGCGTGTTCCAAACTCCAGAGTATTGATACCAAACCGTGTTCCCCCAGCCCGCTCAAGATTGAGGTACTTTGGAAGACAACAGCGGCAAAGTTAATCAAGTGGGCGGCTACTAAAATAAGCTCGATTTCAAATAAGATTCCGTTATCTCACGGATACATTGTTTCACTGCCACCCCAGATTACGTTGATCTGTTGGCATATTTCATCCGTCTCTAACTTTGTGTGGCAATTTCTGCTACGCTACCCAACCAGGCGTTGTCTGCGAATTTAGCTTATAATTCTGGGTAATGAGATCCCTTTGATCAATACCTACATGAGAATATATATTACATTGTTCACTCTAAATCCTTGTCATTCGTTCGAAATTCTCAAGTTCATTGTCTGCTGATAAAGGATGGGTTTGTACAGCCCGTTACATACAAAGCGCACTGAACATGCACTGTATGAATTTGTAGCTAGTGGTGTACATAGTGGTATGAATTTCGAATGTCAGAGGATGTGCTTGAGACCTAAGGGTATCTCAATCCACTCGGGACCTCACGGTACAACCAAAAAGGGTAGGTTTATATCAGAAAGTGGCAAGGAATGAATTGCATCAATGAAGAGGATCCATCCCTGGCGCTCCTACATCACCAATGGGGCAATCGCGAAGTTGCGCAGCACCTATGACTGCATCAAGGTATTCACCGGACTGGAAGACGAACTCAGCATGACAAGGGATTCGGGAATACAATCACCTTGAAACCAAACACAGTAGGAATATTGTGTCTGCAGACAGGCCGACCGGCTGTATGGGTTCACTCGCCTGGTAGCTTTATTGAAGGTAGTGGGATGTTGCTGCCGCGGCTTTGAGCTGTTTAGGCAGGCTATTAGGCTGGAAAAATATGATTGTTCTTTCAGCAGAAATGAAGAGAACCGAATTATGTCAACTTAATCGAATGAGCGTGACTGGACACAAAGAATGTTTTTACGTTAGTTAAAGTGGCCAGGAGGAATCTGCGGTTCGCGGGATACTCTCCTGGCCAGCCTTCCTAGAAATCCACATCTGCGATTCCGCGTTGGGACGTAGGATGGGCACGGCTAACCTGAAACGTTCTGCTATTAGGACGTGTCCACATGGCCGCTGTACATGGATGCCGCCGGCCATATATTCGCCCATTCCTATTATCTTACATCTCCAAGACCATTGCCTGAGAATCATTACTCGGTCCTCCGAGCAAAGGCGGAATACAGGGAATGATAGAAGCCCTTGAGAACCGTGACCTTTAATTTAAGCTATATTTGACCCCACTGACCCGGCTCATAGCGGGCAATTGGACTGTCGTACGGCACATGCCTAAGCCCCAGTATTTCGGGGTCGACTACTCATATCTCTGATGGCAGGTCCATCTGCCGCAGACCTTGGTCTGTGGTGACCAGTCCTCTGGGGAGCTCCTTTGGTAAGTGAGATTTATTCGTTCATAGTCTGGACGACCGCACCTGCGGTTGTTGACCACTGTCAGTGTCCCGCAACGGGCTCATCGGGACGGGGCTGGTTGTTCTCGTGAATCGTGCCGATATCACTTCGCCAAGCCGGACGGTCGGCAAGGATGACACGGTCAACGCTCACTACGTTCGGTTGGAGGCCTTTGTTGGGGCACCACTATCTTCACATCTGGGTCTATGAAATGATTGCAGAGAGGTATATCGGGCTGGATGGCTGGTCATATGCAAAATGGAAATCCGAGAGGGAGCCTGCCTCGTGTCGTATCGACCTAGACAAATGATGCAGCAAAAGGGAAGTTGGAATTACTGACGGCAACGTCTACTTTACATCAGCATCGTGGGTTTGGAGCCATCAATTCACGTAGACTTCAAGCAGAACGTCTTTTCGTTCCAACCAAATCTGCGCCTCAGATGCCTGCCAATGTTCCGAGCGGCGCGAAATTCATATTTCGAGTGTGGGTGAGGACGGTGTACCTGAATCCTCTGCCGAGTTTTATCATGAATAAATCCCACCGAGGAGCCAGAGGTGGATTCGGACCAGAAGCCAGCTTCCGTCATTGCAGACTTGAAATCTCTCCAGGGGAGCTGCCCCGAGAGCCCACCTTCCCATCTGTGAGGAAGTAGCATTCGAAACACCTGTAGAGATTCATGCGTCACGCTAATCTTTGGGGTTGGAGTGCCGTCTTCCGGTGGCGGTATGGGGAATTCTGACGAAGGCGCTTGCGCAGGCCCCCGTGTTTTGGCCTTCTCGGGTTGCGTATTACCTGTTTGGCTTTTGCTAGGTCTCTGTTGTGTACGATGTGCGAGCTCGAAATCAATCACATCCTGTGAAACCTGAGGAACTTGAGGAGCCCTGGGTTCTCGACGACTCATGGGCTCCACCCAGTTGGGAGTACGATATGGTACCCAAGTTGCATCAAAGGGCAGTTCCATCTGTTTCAGGTGGTCCAAGATCTCACGATCCGCCTCCCCCAAAATTTATCGAGGTTGGCTTCTGCACGTTGCATTGCATTCGTCCGCTTGCGTGAGGGTTTCTGGTTCACCGGATAGGCAAATCGCTCTTCCACGGGCGCGCCTGACGTAGCCAAATCCGACTGGTTCCACGCCTTGTCTGGCAACAGCCATCTCGCCTTAGCTTTCTCCCAGTCTTGACGGAAAGACGCTTCTTTTCGCTCGAGTGCGCTTCTAATGTTTCTGGCCCACGGCTGGAAAGCAAAGATCTCGCGCACGCACTCTGCCAGTGCAGATAAGTCCGAAATGGTCCTCATCACCAGTGGTGACAGGAGGCTGACGGTCGCCTGATCTTTCAAAAGAACGGTATCGAATAGATCCATGAGTGTGGGGAGACCAACGTCTTTCCTAATGTCTTTATTCATGAGCATCGCGACGGTTCTGATGATTCCGACTTTGGTTGTGTCTTCGCAAGCTTGCTGAGTAGGGAGGAACTGAAGCTTTCCGTCTGGGGTTATCGTCTTTCCGAACGAATCTCGCATCATAGGTGATGGTGGCAAGACTTCCACAAAGGTTGCGAAGGGCATTTCAAACATCAGCTCCAGCAACCACACCATGTTGGCAAGTGCATCCCCCAAGGGCTGGGAGAGGGCTTCGTGAGGCTCCAAACCTACCCCATGGTCGGCCATCAACCGAGATAGGGCCTGTAGCTGCACCTTCACCGCGGTCCACATTCCCAGGGCAGCATAAGCTTCACGTATCACCACGCGTATGGTGTGATTCCATGATTCCTTTACTTGGACTGGTCGGGCGGAGGGTGACCAGGCCACGTGCTCCATCGCGTGATCCTTTCTCTCACGGAGCATGTCGGCAAAATACCTGGGATCCTCCCGCAGTGCGCGCATGTGGTCCTCCGCTGCATCCAGCTGTGCGTCAACGAAATGGAGTAGAGAGTGCGCATCGAAGTGCACGGGCGACCGATAAAACGAGTGCCTCCTGACGCCCAACAATGCGTTCGCGTTCCGCTGTTCGGGGGACGACTTCGGTACACTTTCCTCGGGCATGTCCTTGCATAACGAGGTTGCAACGTCAGCCAGAAAACGGTACAGGCGCTGTTGCCTCTCTAGAACAAGAAGCCCATCGCCAGCATTCATCCGGATTTGCCTCGTCTTTGCGCAATCCACGTCACGCTTCAGCAGCTCTCCGTACCGATTGCCAGCGTCATTCCAAAACACGACGTCGTAGGTTTCAGCCAAGTGATTTTCCTGCTGAATATTCGAGGTCATGACGCCAAATTCCACTGCCTCGCGGTCGGCGAAGAGGAAATTATAAGGTGGGTCATGGCAACGGGCGCTCAGGAAATCCAAAAGTGTGTTCTCATCCTTCAATGCCCGCAAGCTAATATCAGGCCACATGAATACCGCAGGGTTGTCGGAACTACCATCATAGCCGGTTCGGTTGTACTCCCAGAGATCAGGTCGTTGCAAAATAGGCATCTTTTGCCATGCTTCTTCAAGCCGGTTCTGGCGTTTTTTAGTATTGTACTTCTTCCAACGGAACTCGATGGTCGAATAGTTCTCCATCAACAATTGCAGCCGAGCATAACTCTTTGTAATACTCTCTGACGACTGTAAGATCTTCTCACCGATCTCATCGCTGGTAATTGTCGACATTTTCCTCTTTTTGGGGGGCAGGGGATGACGTTGCTGATGGCAGTGGACAGTCAGGGGTCAGGGAACAGTCACGTCCGATTCGTCTGTCACGCGTGGATTTACTACCAAGTGAACAGTGAAAAGGGGAACACTCGTTGGCAGCACACCCGCAGATATGCGTGTTGATTCAGCAGCAATGACAATAATTAACTCAGACCGCCACTGGTTATAGAGAGAGAGAGAAACCACCTAAGGGGGGGGGAAGGGGAAACTGGTTATTCAATACCATCAATACCGTATTTTACAAGCGGGGTGTATTACCCGAATACTCTTTCCGACAACGGGCGGGATATATGACTAAAATTGCGTATGCGGGTGCTTGGATGTAACTATTCGAGAATTGAATACATTGCAAAAGATCATAAGCGGAAGTCTTGCCGTAAGAGACGAATTCAAAAGTGCCACTGAGTAAAGCAAGGGAAAGCCGGAGGGAAGCTGCGAGAAAGAGCCAAATTTGGACTCCGGAATAAAAGTATTTCCGTAACACCAGATCACAGTACAATACGGTCATGATTGTGACAACCCTGTGACAATCTGGGGTAACAGCTGTCGTAACAGATGGATAAGTTCGGTCGCATGAAGTACCCAGACCCAACTTCAAAGACACAACTTTCACGAGACATGGAAGGAGACATTAATATCTGCCTGAAATTATACGTAACGTAAAAATCAGATATCCTGGACCCCTGTGACGCCGGAGCGAGAAATGATTTTTGTTCCACAGTGTACCTTAATTCCCCGTTGACGGAAGTTCGCGCAGCCCCCTCTGGATCAACTCGATATATCATTGACCTAACAATAGAGAGCATTCAATTAGAGAGGCAGAGAATAACACACATGTAATTGTATATAATAATAGTTCCTTTTCCTGTTGTTCCTTTTCCTGTTTTTATCTCCAATTGTGTTGCAGGTATCTAGGAGCCTTTTCAGCACACCTACACACCGCCTTATTTCGGCACCTCATATATCCGTTAGCCTTGGCATGGACAGTCTTTTTGATCCGCCTTTCGGCGGAAGGACATGACGAACACTTGATAACGTAACTTAGTTCTCGGTCAACCCAATAACCCCAAAACCCCATATTAAATGCGATTTTTCACAACTTCATATTTCAACCCATAAGGCGCATGGTATAGTCTTAGGACAATTCAGTTATTTTATCAGGCTGGAAATAATTTAGGGTGCGATAACATTGGTATATATACCTATATTGCTCTCTTGGAGCGTATTTTTGGTAATATGGGTAAATAGTACTTTTATGAATATTTCATTTATCCTACGCTGTTTCTAATACTAAGGATTTACATATTAACGTCAATCCCTCTGCAACCCGCCTCCCGCCGCACCCACTCAACCTCAAGATACTTTGGAATCAAACACCTAAACGAGAACAATGCGCGATTTAGTTGCGGCAAAAGCAAGATTATATTGTTTGAGACTACTTAACCCTCGATAAAGTCCAATTTTCACCCAAAATTACGTCCATCTTTGTGTATGTTTCAACGCGAGAATTGCGACCGTGTGCTTTGGGTTATCTCTTAAAATTCGGTCAAATCCAACATGGCTCACAAATTCCAATTCTTCAGGGTTAAATGCTTTACCCCAATAGTAAGTAGATACGTTATAATAGATTCAACGAAAGGATTTCACCTTTTCCTTGCGGTTTGTAGTTAAAAAATCTTGATATACTCTCGCTCCCTGAGACTCTTGGGATACATTTCTTGCTTACTAAGAAGACACGTAAAATTACAATACATACGGTGTTGTAACAGATCTGTCCCGTAAACAACAAAGTCCAAATTTTGACCTGCATATAGTCACATGATTTTGGCTTCGTTGGGTCTGAGAATGATCGACTTGAACTCCTCATTGACGTCATCCGGACTCCGGCGGCCTGCTCCACGCACCAAATATCATCAACCACCATAAACTGGCTAATCGGACAGGATTTAAGCTTATGCGGCATCATCCCTACATATCCACTTTTAATCTCCTCCTCGCCCATACCTGAATTTTCTTACACTGTTGGATTCCTTTACAGGAGCATATTCACCTTTCGTATGCTTATCTCCAGCTCTCTTGTCAAAGTCATCAGCAGCTAGGCGAACTAATTCGCACCTAGTTCGTTAATACCATTCTACAATGAAAACTTTCCCTGAAGCCGATGTTATCTGGTGGAATGCTTCCAACTACTACGTTCACTGTCCATTCTGTGACGATGTTCATCGCCACGGCATAAACTGGGAGGCGGGGAAGTTGAGATACTCCCATTGTGAAATGATGGAGAGTTATTCATGCTGCTTCCCCTTGAACGACCAAGGTGAGGTCGCGTATGAAATCGACAAGAAACGAGGACGTTATAACAACATTTTTGTATCGCATGAGAGCGATAGGGAGGATGACGATGATGTTGATCGTCTGGCGATCCAATTAGCTCAAAAGGCTACGGTTGCAGTACACAGAGAAGAAACTTTTGCGAGTATTCACCAAAACGCAAAGGAGATCATCATTACCAATCCAGGACATGGAATCGGCCCATTTAAACAGAAAAGAATTTCGCAGCCGATTAGTGACTGCGCCCTCGGGGATGTGAAAGCGGTTCAGAATTATTTGGAGACATCTAGTGAAGCCCACTTATTTCTCGAGGGCCGTGATTCCGATGGTCAAACGAACCTTATCAAGGCAGCAGCTCAACAGAGCTTACCGATGGTATCGCTTCTCATTGAGCATGAGGCTGAAGTAAATGCTGCTGCCAATAGTGGAAGGACTGCGTTGATGGAGGCAGCACTCTTTGGTTGGGTCGAGAACGTCAAGGTTCTCCTCGAGAACAATGCAGACAAAAGTATGCGAGATAGCGAAAACCGACAGGCCATTGATTTTGCTCAAGACAAGCACCGAAACAAACGAGAGATATACGATCGTACCGGGGGCAACTCCATGTCTTCATCTAATCGACGACTGGGTTATATCGAGGACCCATTCCTGAGAGACATTGATCGTCAGGAAATTGTACGCCTCCTCGGAGGAGAGAACCGGAAGTCAAAAATTGTTTTTGGGAGACCTCCCACCTTAATCATGTCCGAGTCCTACTCTTTCAAACACTCGCCAATGCAAGACTCGCTTGTATTATATGGGCCAATTGAAGAATATCCGATTAGCCGAAGATCGCAGACGGTGGCGCGCCTGGAACGAGGCGGGAAATTCCCTTCCGTTGGCGCTATGAGCGGATGGTCACATCCCTCTGTCCAGTCTCTCAGGGTCGACGGCAGGCAGTGGACCGATGATGTATTTTACATCTCGGAAGTCGTGGGCCATCTTTTGCCTTGTCACAACTACGATCAGGGTAGAGATGGTCAATGCAATGCTTGTCACGCAGAAAAGCAGTTGATTGCATACTTCATTGATCGTCATGTATTCCTCCCACGCGATGGACAGCCGGACTCAGAACTGGAGACAGAGATTGAGTTAAATGACGATAAGCTTGAGGAGTTCCTTTCAACGACTCAAACGGGACGCCAAGTTACGTCTCTCAGAAAGAGAAAGAAGGACCTAGAGAATGAGCTATTCGATGGGGATGAAAAGCTCGTCGGTAAACATGATCAAATCCGGGCTTTAAAGTTGGAGCTCAAATCTGTTGAAACCACCCTAAACCGGCTAATCGCTACACCCCAAGCCAGGCCGCTTTTATGGTTAGAAAGCCAACTGGAGGTTCTAAATCACCAAAAAGACAGACATGAGGACCTGACCAGAATGGCTAATGCGCCACCCCCGGCTTCATTAACCGAGGCGGTTATATTGATCAGCTCGCCTCCTTGCCAGGACTGCATCATGTTCAAAGACAAAGTCAATAGTTTTTTTGGGTTGTCTTTACAATTATTCGCGGCACTTTGACTTATCCCAGCTTTGAATAGGTACACAAAGACAATTACGGATTCGTGAGGAATGCTGAGGTTTCAGCCGTCTTTAATACCGTACCGCTGAAGGTTTCTTGATATTTATCATGTGACTTGAGAGCTTCTGTCGCTCCGTCCTCACTGAGACGGGCTAGCTTTGTTCATACTTTGAAATGCCAAAATTGCGCTATGATCTCTTGGACTGTAGCACATATATATTGCATAATTAATCACAATCTAAAAGTAACCTAACTGACAAAAGCAGAAAGAAAGGCGGCCTGTCAAAAGCTAATAACCGAGCAGTAATCTTTAAAGCCCCAGGTTTGTATTTCATCCTCAGCCCTTCGTACATCGTCACTGCAAGATCGTTTCGCTCGACGCCCACTGCTGGAAGTTTTCTTGCGCTTTCCACCCTGCGAGGCCTTTTTTGCTTCAAGGTTGCGCTGGGCCTCGATTATATCCTCATAGCTCATGACTTTAGCATTGCCCACCTTGCGTGCTGGCTTCGATGTTCGAGTTCGTTTTTCATTGTTCTGTACCAACAGCCGGTCGTTGTCATTACGAAGAAGTGCACGGTCCGCAAATGCCTTCTCCGCAGCGTGGGCAAGACGGTTGACGAGAAGCTTAGAATCTTCGTCCCACCCACGAGCTTCTTTTTGCATCTTACGACACAGCGATTTTAGACCGTCAGCCGTGATGGGTGTTTGTGGTGTTTGTAGCAGCTCTACACTGTCAGAGTAACGGACCACTGTAGCAACATTCCCCCTGTTGGAGCAACTGGCTCTTGGAGGCGGCTGAATGTCCTTCAGTACCCGGTCAGGATTCCAAGGAAATAATCCAGTTTTAGACCAGCCCGCGTTGATGTTACGAGGCGTTACAGCAGAGCTTCGCGCCCGGCTATAAAGGGATGTGAAATGCTCCAACCGCACAGCATTAGCTCCACCCCGATATAACAGTTCTACTTGTTCCCGATAGGCAGTTTTCAGTGCACTGAACACACCCACATCACACGGCTGAAGCTTATGCGAAGTATGTGAGGGAAGTCGGCAGGGAATGATGTTATTTGCA